GCATATATTGTCATTTGTTTAGGTAAAATACAGAAAAGCTGCTTAAAAATGATCAAAACTCAAAGCAAATATGACTATACAGACTCAAAGTTAGTCATGAATGGACTGAGTGCTGAACAGTTTAATTATGCACTTGTTTCATAGTTTTATTATTATAGGGTGAGCAGAATTTCAAAATAAAAAACTGGGACACCCTCGGTTTGGGGCAGTGCGTAATAATAAAATTGTAAATTGAGTGCCTCTTTAAGAAAAATTGTTCTGCACTCGGCCCATTCATGACAAACATGAGTCAGTTTAGTCACATTTTCTTTTGTTTTTAAGCAGCTTTTATGTATTTTATTAAAACAAATGACAGTTTATGCCTCTCTTAACTGTTGGCAGGTGTCAGATTTGTCCAAAATAGAGACGACTGGGACATTTCTTCATCAATCAGTCAATCAAACTTTATTCATAGCACTTTTCAGACAAAAAATGCAACACAAAGCGATTTTTTTCTTGTGATTCTTGTGTAAAACTGGGACAAATCAGTGGTTGTAGACAGGGGACACAGGGCTCAAAACTGTCCCATATATCCAGTGTTGGGAAGGTGACTTTTAAAATGTATTCCCCTACAGATTACAGATTACATACCCCAAAATGTAGTTTGTAATGGAATCCATTCAATTACTTAAAGTGAGTAACATAATCTGAATATTTTGGATTAATTGATTTGCTGTAGAGAAGCAAAGACCAGGAAATCTTCACATAAGATGTTTTATCTGCTAAAAGTCAATAAAAAACCCAGACTGAACCGTATTAAAAATATTGTTGATAGAAAACGAGGAGACACGTCCACGCAGCATGATTTAGTCCTGTTAAATCCTGTTTTAGACCTGGTTTTAGTCGTGGTTTAGTCCCAGTTTAGACCTGATTTGGACCTTGTTCAGACCTGGTTTAGTCCTGGTTTAGTCTTGGTTTAGACCTGGTTTAATCCTGGTTTAGTCTTGGTTTAGACCTAGTTTAGACCTGGTTTAGTCCTGGTTTAGTCTTGGTTTAGACCTAGTTTAGACCTGGTTTAGTCCTGGTTTAGTCCTGGTTTAGTCTTGGTTTAGACCTGGTTTAGTCTTGGTTTAGACCTAGTTTAGACCTGGTTTAGTCCTGGTTTAGACCTGGTTTAGACCTGGTTTAGACCTGGTTTAGACCTGGTTTAGTCCTGGTTTAGACCTGGTTTAGTGTCCGTCAATGAGTGGAATTACTGGAAAAAAAAAAAAGGGAATAGCCTGAAATGTGAAAAGAGGAAAATACCTCTGTGTAATCCATTTATTTCAACACTCACTGAAACAGTAACTGTAACTGAATACAGTTAATCATAATTTGTACTCTGATTACATATCTCCGGTACATGTAATCTGTTACTCCCCAACACTGGATATATTATTACAACCACCCCAAACCAGAGAGGTCCCAGGTTTTTTTGTTTTGTTTTGGGGTTTTTTTTTCCCGAAAATCTTGTCACCCTAATAATTCTGCCTTATTTGACAAACCAGTCTCTTGCTATTTTTGCTACAGAATTAATTTTTTTTTACCAAATAATATCCCTTGTGGATCAATAAAGTTTGTGTCTAACTGCTCATGCTAAAACTAACAGTGTGGTGCATATGTGGAATATCTGTGTCATAACAAAGCGACGGCGTCATTATCCGAGCGTTCCCCGGGGCTCCTCTTCCTCACGTGGCCGTGTGAGCTCAGGTTTATTATAGTGTGGAAACAAAAGCGTAACAGCCTGTGTCCTGTCGTCCCCACGAGGACACCAGGAGTCCTCTGCATGTCCAAATCTGGAGCTGCTGGATTCATGGTGTTCAGCTTCCTCTTACATGTCATATTTTGAGTTTTTTTTCAGATTTACGAGATTCAGTTTTGTTTTAGATTGTTAACTACTATGGCCATGGCTCTGCTGTTTCACCATTTTGAAAAAAATATGGTGACCAGATATTCAAAATTAAAAACTGGGACACACCCGGGTTGGGATGGTCAGTAAAATATAAGATAATGTAATATTGTCTTTTTCTTTTAGCTAAAATACAAAAAAAAAAAAAAAAAAACATGCTTGAAAATGAGCATAAGGGGGAAAAATAAAACTAACTCATGTCAGTATTTAATCTGAGGGACTTCTGTTATTGCATTTTTATTTTATTTTATAATTTTTTGTTTCCCTTGCTAATTTTCAAGCATGATTTTCTGTATTTTGGCTAAAAGAAAAAGACAATATATTAGCCTCTTTAGTGTTTGTGGGTAGCAAATTGGTCAAAAATAGGGACAACTGGGACATTTCTTCTGTTAAATTGGGACAAATCTGTGGTTTTGGATAAATCTGGGCTCAAAACTGGAACTGTCCCACGTAAATTGGAACGTCTGGTCACCCTAAGGTTAAAGCTACCCTTTGTAACATTTCTGGTGGTCGGGGTGTTGTTGCTTAATCTAGAATATTCCACTGTACGGCATTAAACTGATCAAATTTACACTTTCTTCTGAGTTACAAATGTTTTTGTTGCTACATTCTAACTCTGAAGTGGGTCGCCTCACCATAAATCTGACCTGTAACTTGGCCCGGTGGCATAAACTCCTTGTCGCTATGGAGACAGGTACATTTAAAGACATTCTGTGGAACATCTCCATAGAGTGAATCAAGTGATGGACTTCCCTCCACCAAAAAGGTTATAGTTACATAGTGCATTCTTTTTTTCATTCTTTCATTTCATTTCATTCATTCTTTTTCTTTTTTTTTTTTACTCCCATATTAGGTATAGGAATTTATTTATGGACAAAATTGCGAAATAAAAACACCATCATGTAGAGTGGGTTAATATGAATTTATTTTTTCAATTCATTTTAAGAAATCAAAATTACAAAGTTCACTGCAGCTTACAGAGAGAGAGAGTTACAGAAAAAGGGATTTCTTTTTTTTTAACATAGTGCATTGTGTCGCTGTTGGTTGCACTATTTTAAAGGTGCACTGTGTAACTTTTGTCTGGAATGTCCCAGAGTATGGCATTATACCCATCTACTTTATCAGCATGGAGTCAGGCAGTCAGGTGACATCACTATGCCAAGTTACAGGTCAGAACTGTGGAGAGGTTTTATTGGTAAATTTAGCGATACAAACAACCACACTGCAAAAGAGATTGGCCAAAAATGTAACCCTCTCCGGGCAGACGTTGCAGATTTGCAGCAACTAAATGCCAATTACCTACTTACTCCAAATCCATATTTTATGAGCTTTTTTTACTCAGGAGCCTTTTTTCACATCCATGCTGATAAACGTGGACGATGCAGACTGTGCAAGAATGGCTACACGCAAACATCCTGCCAGAAGTGGAAAGTACTTTTGTTGTTTACAAAGGATAAATATTGTTTCTTGGAGCACCACATGAAAAAGTGATGTTGTTCTGCCACTGTAAAGCCGTTACACTGTGCTTTATGTTTTCATTGTTATGAAAAATGGTATACACATAAAGTTAGCGTTCATATCATTTTCAGCCTTCAGTGTTAATTTATCACACCGGACCAATGTTGCAAATCTGCAACATCCCAGAACACACTGGATGTGAAGGTCTCTCTCAAACAAAAAGTCAGGATTGTATATTACAACCGCATATGATCATTTTCCCCAAAGATCAGATTTTTTCCTGTTACTAAAATTTTATTTGAGCCTGAGAGGGTTAAGGTAGAATAGAATATCTTTATTGTCACTGTAACAGATACAACAAAATTAAGACCCCGTTTACACTGAAACGAATCCGCGTATCACCGTATCAGAAACGTATCTGTGTCCGCAAGCCTTCCCTGTCCACACAGCTTTGAGCATATTTGTTTACGTTTTACAGAAACAAAACTTAAAACCGCATGGCTCATTTGCATAAACTTTGCGCTCAAAACAGCTCTCTATTGTGCGCTGATGCAGTTCAGCTTCTGTCGGACTAAAGGACACGACTCAGTGGAATATGAGTGTTCTTTCTGTGACAGAGGTGTGTTCTGCTGATGGTGAGTCTGTTCTGTGTTTCTGTCGCGTTTCAGAGATGTCTGGAGGTCATATGCATAGACCGTAAATATGAATATATGCTAGCCTCTTAGTGTTTTGACCTACATCAGCGTATCAGAGTTTTCAGGCGTCCACACAGTGCTGGATCAGATCTGTACTCAGATGAATTCGTGGGAGCTGGAGGCACCAGATCGTTCCGTCTCTGGAGCCGTTTTCAGTTGGATTAGTGTGAACGAACACTGCATCGGCACGAAAACGATTCAAATTCGTACTAGAGTGGACGGGACCTAAGTGCAGTCCTTGTTCAGTGCAAAGGTAGAAATAAATAATAAAATATGGACATTTGAAAAAAACATCACAAAAACCACACAAATACATCCTTGCCATACACATCCACATTCATAAATGTAAAACGTAAAAAACTATGCTTTGATAGCTCCATTTAGTGCAATAATGGCTGTTGGATAAAAACTGTTGTAGTCTGTTTGTCCTGGTTTTATGGACCTGTATCTAATGCCTGGTGGGAGCAGGTCAAACAGTTTGTGACCAAGGTGTGATGGGTCTTTCAGGATGGAATTGGCCGTTTTGAAGCAGCGGGAAGTGTGCAAATCTTCCAGAGAGGGAAGAGGGCAGCCGACAGTTTTCTGTGTTGCCTCTATGCCAGAAAACACTTTAATCTGTTAGAAAATGACTTAAAAATAGTGAAATTATCTGTCCATGCAGCAAGATTTTACTTTTCTTTTACTAGAATTAAGCAGTCTCAGAACTAATAAGTCGATAATAAATCTGAAAACAAGACGAATAACTTGATGTAAGTTTTAAAATCTTGACCAGATGGGATTTTCCTGGTCAAGCAGCAGTAGTTGTAACTCCATGGAGACAAGCAGGTTGCAGCAGATCATCCAGAAATGTTACACAGTGCACCTTGAAGATGTTAGTTTATCATTTAACATTTATGTGACATGAGCATTTCTACTCAGAGTCTGCCACTCAACAGAGAACCCAATATGTCGTGTTGTAAAATTGACGGTTCGTATTTCTGGGAAGTGTTTAGGAGCCAATGACAACGATAAAGAGTCCTGTCACCACCGGCCCCCTGCCCTGCTCCTCATGTGTCCAACAGAATGTAACACCTTGTTTATTTATCACAACGTAATTTTAACTTGGTATTTTTAGAAGCAACAGTACTCGTATTTGAGTAATAGTTTTGGTTGCTATTCCCACTCTGAGTGAGTCCAGAACAAGTGGCAAAAGCTTCGTGGTGACTACTTTATTTGTTGTTTACTAGAGTTGGCTCGTACACACACCAAAACATGTTTACTCTTACTTAAAGTGGAACTAAACACTAAATCCACTGTTTTCATTGCTAAACTGCAGGGCTGAGTATCATTAACAAGTTGCCGATACGATACATATCTCGATACAGTGCACTTTTGATTCAATACGATATATTTCAAATCGATTCAACACAGTTCAATAAAAAATAATGGAAAAATCATGGCTGTGATACTAAAAGCAGGGTTCCCACGGTCATGGAAATCTCTTTCACGCAACTATAGAGTTCTGTTAAGCGATCATTAGACTATTACGATTATTTCTGAACGTCTGCGCCTTTTGTTTAAAAGAGACGACAATAAATGCACTGACAGTATTTTGAATGTTAAAAAACTATAATATCAAACCATAAGGTGAGTGGAAAGAGTTAACATTTTTAATATTTAGCCCTAAAAGTCTAATCAATTCTACACATGTAGGGTGCTGTAAAGTCATGGAAAATTCACTTAAGGTCATGAAAAAGTCATGGAAAAATTTTGAAATTTTGTCAGTGAAAAAGAGTGGGAACCCTGTAAAAGTCTTTTAAAGGGTTTAACTACTTCTTGTGCAAAGTAAATATTAAACACACCCATTTTAATCATCCAAACAGTGAAAATGTCAAGTGTGGTGCATACATGAGATTCCTTCCTCTGAACAAGCAACAAAACTGTAGCACAGTAACTAAATAATTTAGCAAAATATACCAAAAAATACTCCTAGTGATATATGGATACAGCAGCCCCCAATATCGATACTGTATCATCACATTAAACGATACAACATATTGATATTTTGATATTTTTGCACACCCCTCCTAAATTGTCTGTGGTGTTTTAGCATTATTTTTACTGTTCTTAGTCCATTTTTGGCACCTTTAGTGTAAACAAAGCCCCTAAATTTAAGTCTGTGCCACCTGAAGTGGCTTAAGTGGCACTGCAATTTCAAGTACTTGGTGACATCACACATCGCTGTCTTGATTACAGCCAGGTGCTTCTGGTTACAAACAGGGGCGGAGCTTGAAGTGTGGATACCTGTTAAACCGATCACACTGTTATAACTTATATCTCTAGACTCCACCTCTCCTTAGTCCTCCAGGTCCTGCCCAGTTTAGCAGCTCTATTTGAAATGCGGTTTAGTCCCACTTTAAAGGTTCACTGTGTAACTTTTACAGTGGGAAGTGTTTGCCACCTGCTTGTCTCCATGCTTCTCTGTACACAAACAAGCAGGTGGTGTGAACAGGCCACGTTACCAGTCAGATCTACAAACAGGCTGGCTCACTCAATGCATGGATTTCAAGGCAGTTGACTCTAATACATGCTAAATAGATACTTTTAATGCCATACTTTGGAATATTTCAAGCAAAGCAATAACATCTCGATGTGACAAAGTTTAAATGTTGTTTTTTTTATTTTATTTGAGTATTTATTTATTTATTTATTATTATTATTATTTATTACTTTTTATGTCCTTTTTTATTATTATTTATTTATTGAGAATTTAATTTATTTGAGGTTTTTACTTTGAGTATTTATAATTTTTTTATTATTATTGTTTTTTTTTTATTATTTGTTGTGATTTTTATTTATTTATTTTTTTATTGAGAATTGATTTTATTAGAGGTTTTTACTTTATTTGAGTATAATGTTTTCCCTACTCTACCCACCCTTTACTATTAGTGATGTTCTGAAGTGGTAGTTTTTAAGTTGACAGCTGTCTTTTGGAATACTTCCTGTATTACCACATGACATCACAAGGTGGAACAGTGTGTTTTCTGTTTGAGAGAAGCCTAAATATGCAGGGTTTGTGTGTTAAACATGTGCGAATGAAACAAAACCCAAGTCCAGATATGTTTTTGATGAGGAAACGACATTATAAAAGATCTGAAAATATTGTCATAGCCTATAAACATAATTTTATTTGCTGTACATTGTCTCTTCTTTTCTTAAAGCTTGTTTTCTTTATCCACCTGTTTCTACATCAGCCTCGGTGCTTTCAGTCTCTGACATTTGCCTGACTCTGTTTCCATGGCAACTGTCAACACTCATTCCTCCGGTTTTCTTCTTGTCGTTGACCTCTTGTTTCATCGACTGGATTTTCAGTAACGTGAATTCTTTGACATGTTTGACTTCGTTGCCGCGGTAACTCTGCAGTGGCCTTGAAATCCCCTCCTCGCGTTGACAGATATTTTGTTGTTACGTCCTGTGTAAAGCGTGGGTTTGCAGCACCATTGTGTGGCCAGTGTGATCAACTACAGTTTCATAAATATAAAGTACATTATAGACTAGTTACGTTTCAGATGCAATGTCAAGCAGCCTGATTCTTTAAAACCACCTTTTCTCATTTTTGTGTCTGTCCTTTGAAAATACCAGATTTTGTGCATTATGTGATATTTTGTCCTTCAAATTACATTAGTTTCGAATATAAATAAGATGTTATGTCCTAACAATTACTCTTTAAAGGTGTAACTTTTCGGTTGGGGGTCTAAACAGCTCTACCTTACATTTATTCAATTACAGGTGGGTTCATTGCTCAAAAATACCTAGAAAAATAGACATTCGAACTGTGCAGGGTCGCCTCTCCACAGATCTGATCTACAACTTGGCCTAATTTGGCTTCCATGAAGATAGAAAGGTTTAATGCCACACTGTGAAACATTCCAGACAAGGCAATAACATCTCCGATGGAGAAAAACAGGTGGCGGACCCTCCATCGGAAAGGTTACGCAGTGCACCTTTAAGTTACATGAGTAGTAGTTTTCCCAAATACTTTTTTACTCATCTAAGCCGCAAAAGTAACGTCACGTCTTCACTTTTTATTCTGCGTTTAGACGAGCGTTTTCAGGAGGAAATCTGCATATGGTCAGTGTTGGGGAGTAACAGATTACATGTACATGTAATCAGAGTACAAATTATGAGTAACTGTATTCCGTACAGTTACTGTTTCAGTGAGTGGTAATTGGATTACAGTTACTTTGTTGAAATAAATGGATTACACGGCAGTATGTTCCTGTTTTCACATTTGGGGCTATATCCCCCTTTTCTTTTCTTTTTTTTTTCTTGGTAATTCCACTGATTGCCGGACACTAAACCAGGTCTAAACCCAGGTCTAAACCAGGTCTAAACCCAGGTCTAAACCAGGTCTAAACCAGGTCTAAACCAGATCTAAATCAGGTCTAACCCAGGTCTAAACCCAGGTCTAAACCCAGGTCTAAACCAGGTCTAAACCAGGTCTAAACCAGGTCTAAACCAGATCTAAATCAGGTCTAACCCAGGTCTAAACCCAGGTCTAAACCCAGGTCTAAACCAGGTCTAAACCAGGTCTAAACCAGATCTAAATCAGGTCTAACCCAGGTCTAAACCCAGGTCTAAACCAGGACTAAACCAGGACTAAAGCAGGACTAAAACCAGGACTAAACCAGGACTAAACAAGGACTAAACCAGGACTAAACAAGGACTAAAACCAGGACTAAACCAAGACTAAACCAGGACTGAACCAGGTCTAAAACAGGATTTAACAGGACTAAATCATGCTGCGCGGACCGTGTCTCCTCCTCTTCTGTCAATAATATTTTTAAAGACTCGGCCTTTTCATTTTCTTTTAGCAAACAATGTGAAGATTTCCTCGTCTTTGCTTCTCTACAGCAAATCACGTAATCTGAAGTATACAGTTTACTTTACTCACCTAAGGTAATTTAATGGATTACGATATAAGATACATTTTGGGGTATGTAATCTGTAATCTGTAGGGGAATACATTTTAAAAGTCACCTTCCCAACACTGCGTACGGTGACGCAAAAGTGTGTGGAATTCGATTGGGTGTGCATGTCAGGCGGCTCGGTGGTGACGTTAGGTGGTGATGCATAAACGTGAACGCAACGTGAGCAGATCTGACCAGAGTTGTGTCGTGGGCAGTTTGGACGGAAACACTACGGCGGAGTGTATTCAACTTCAACAGATTTTTGTGTTTTTAAACCCCAAAAAAGCCTCATTGTCTAAATGAAAGGCATTTCCAATCAAATATTTTGTCATTTTTACCCAAAAGCCAAACTCGTGTAAATAGGCCCTCAGTATAACCTGGGGATGTCTGGTCATTTGCAAATCACGGCCCTACCTCTGTGTTACTTGCAAACAAAATCCGTAATCCAAAATCCGTAATTTGCTCGATTTTACTGACATTGACACAGAGATTGAAAGAGAACAGAACATAGAAAGAAAAGAAAGAGATAAAAAAAAGGTGCAATTACAACAACAAACACTGAGATTCAGATTCACATGGGACTAGTATCACCGGACGTCTGTGTTTGATGAAATATAGTCGGTAATTTGCGGCAGAATTTTTACGTTACGAATTACAGACATGGTGCATTCACACGGGATTAAGATCTCAGGCGTCCTCCGCAATTATTACAAATCACCAAAGGTCCACAGGTAAAACTAATCCCGGGCAAATAGAACTTTAGACGACTACTTTATACTCCACCAAACAGGTCAAAAACGACTTAATTTCCACCTTCTCCTCTGTGTTTCGTCAGGTGCGGTCGCGGTGAAAGAGGCGCCCCCCTTGTCTCCGGTCATCCCCCAGTCCGCAGACCCCGAGCTCAGGCCTGACGCCTGCAGCTCCGCCCCCTCCTCAGGTCCCTCCAGAGACCTCCGCCCTGCGCCCTCAGGACCGAGAAGAAGAGGAGGAAGAGGAGGAAGAAGACAACAGCCAACCACTCACCATCTCTGAGCTGGCCTACAGGTACAACCACAACACACGCCGTTCTATTTTAGCGTCACATTCTGAGACTTACGGACAGAGAAAAACATTCGCCATGATCGACTTATCTATTTTTATAACTTTTATGGAACAAAAAACAAAAAAAGCAAAAACTAAACCCTCCTAGACCCACTTCTCTCTTCACTCTCCAAACTAAGACTGTGCAATTAATTAAATTTTGATCGTAATTTCGATTTGTGTGTCAAACGATCTCTAAACTCATATAATCGAGTTGAAACGATAAGCTTAACAAAGTTTATTTTGAGATTTTTTTTTTTTATATAAACAATTGTATTTATTTTATTTTTTTAAATATAGAGATTGTAGAACAGCTGATATATAGTTTATTTTGGATATATTTATGTTTTTCTATGCCTTATTTCATGTTCAAAGTATATTTTATTAATTTTACATTTTATACATCACAAAACTGTTCTAAGATTCATATTTGTAGCCTTTATTTATTTTCAATTTGAACATTTTGTGTAAATTATCAATAATAAAGTGTTTTTTAGAGAGAGAAATGCTGAATAAATGCATCATGTAACAAAAAAAATTATCATTTGAATAATTGTGATCTTAATATTGACCAAAATAATCAATCTAAGCTCTGATGAAGATAAATTTGGTCGAAACATGTTGGCTTTGGCCATCTAAATAAAGGCCTTTTAACTATATATTTTTCCTCGTGCAATTTTTACTTCTTTGGAGTGCCTGGATTCCTTTGTGTTTAGAGTTTTGATCCTTCTTTCAAGAGCTCCCACCACCTGCTCCCACTGACTGGAACACCTGCAGCAAACAGCCACATGTCTTGTTTTCTCTCCATTGACCAAAATAATCGTGATCATATTTTTTTCAATAATCGAGCAGTCCTACTCCAAACACACACAGAAATTCACACACAAAAAAAAAAGTCTAGTCTTGTCAAAATACACTACCGGTCAAAAGTTTTAGAACACCCTAATTTTGACTTGAATTTTTAACTTGAAAACATGGAGTGTCCAGCAGCACAGTGTCCAGACTTAAACCCCATCGAGCTGGTTTGGGATGAACTGGACAGAAGAGTGAAACAACCGACAAGTGTCACACATTTATGGAAACTTCTGCAACAGACTTGGGAAGAACTTTCTGAAGAATATTTGATTTCTATTGTAGAAAAAACGAGTGTGTTCAGCTGTTATATCTGCCAAAGGTGGACACTTTGATGAGTCAAAAGTTTAGAATACGTTTTGGTCAACAGTAAACAGTAAAAAACTGGAAAAAGTGTGGTGTTCTAAAACGTTTGACCAGTAGTGTAGCCATGATCTATTTCTGATACATAAATTCTACTCACATGAACATTCACACAGCGACAGTGGCTCCCTCTTTTATGCATCACTCGGGGAAAAACTCAAACTAAAACACAACACTACCCACACCAGTCCATTTTTCTCACAATCGGGGAATAAAAGAAAAATAGATATTTATATAACTGTACGCTGTGTCCTTGTGCTCTTGTGTCCTCCCTCAGCCCGTGTGCCAGTCTGCTGCCCACCCCGGTGGAGGACACCCATGGAGGGGTGGACCTGCTCTTCTCGTCCCCGGTCCAGAGCCCCGCGCGGCTGCTCCGGGAGCTCCACGCCGACCCGGACATCCAGGCTCAGCTCGAGGCCGAACGCGAGCGGGACCGAGCCTACGAGCGCACGCGATTGGCCGCCAGCCGGAGCGTGGGCGGCGTCCTGGGCCTGCTCTCGTCCAACGAGCGGGTGCGGTCGTGCGTGTGGAGCGTGGTGCGCCTGGTCGCCGTGGTGATGGGGGTGTTGTTGGTCACCGTGCCGACGCTGCTGCTGCTGCTGGAGTCCGACCTGGATGTTTCGTTCCTCCACGAGATCAGACAGACGCCGGAGTTTGAGCAGTTCCACTACGAGTACTACTGCCCCCTGCGCAGATGGGTGCTGTGCAGGATCAGCAACGCCATGGAGAGCCTCTGGTCCGACTAGAGACACTACTGCTACTAGTACTACAACTACTACTACTACTACTACTACTACTGCTGATACAAGTACTACTGCAAAAACAAACACAAAATCTGGGTCACAGCTCATTCAGTCTTAATAATAATAATACAAAAAGCTTAAAAATAGCAAACAATCCAATCAATTATAATGAATAAATAAAAAGTAAAGAAGGCCAATTGATAAAAATGAGTCTTAAGAAGTGATTTAAAAGATACTGATGGTGCGAGTCTTATCTCCTCAGGCAGGTCGTTCCTGACTTTTGTTCGTTCTGGACTTTAGAACAACTACAGGACAACAACTATCTCAGGATCTAAGGCTCGTACGGGGTCTTAAGTTGTGAAATGTAACTTGATGCGAGACCTAAATGTGTTTTAAAAGTGATTAGTAAAATCTTAAAATCACTTCTAAAACACACAGGCAGCCAATTTTAAGCCCTGTTCGCACGGGATTAGTTTTACCTGTGGACCTTTGGTGATTTGTAGTAATTGCGGAGGACGCCTGAGATCTTAATCCCATCCAAAACCGCCATGTCTGTAATTTGTAAACTAAAAATTCTGCCGCAAATTACCTACTATATTTCGCCAAACACAGACATTCGGTGATAATACTTGTCCCATTCGAAGCTGCATCTCAGTGTTTGTTGTTGTAATCACGCCTTTTCTATCTCTTTCTTTCCTTTTCTCTTTCAATAGAGTCATTTATGGACTTTGCTTATCTCATGCGAGGTGGGACGTTAATTTGCAAATGATCAGACGTCCCCAGGTTGTACTCATCCCGTGCAAATAAGGCCTTAAATTAATAAGAATGCACTGGATTTATACAGCCCCTGTAACGTGCTTTGCCTTTTAAAATGACTTTATAATGATTGAATTCCGTCTGACCCGTAAATCGAGTTACGACACCGCCCTTAACAGCCTCATTTAAAGAGACACCATGTAACAGTCTGTTGTTTATTAGACTATAACAACTACCCTGCTTTTATGGGATACTTGTCATTAATTTCCGTTTTAGAAGTTCCCTGGATCCCAGCTCCACTTCTCCGCTCCCATCATTGGTTTCGCTCATAACATCGTGAATAAGAGGGGAAAAAAAGAAAAAATTTTAAGTTCAGGTGATGTAAAGTTTATGGACTTTTACTCATCTGTTGTCGTCATGAGGCAAATACAGGGTGACCAGATTTTCAAACTAAAATAGTGGGTTGGTAATAATAAAATTGTGAAATGAGTGCGTAATTAAGGAAAATTGTTCAGCGCTCGGCACTAATGTGAGTCAGTACAGTCCAGGGGTGTCAAACTCATTTTGGTCCGGGGGCCGTGTCCAACCTACTCTGATCCCAAAGGGGCCGGATCAGAAAACTCATGGCATATGAACCCCAAAAATAACAATAAGTTCAAATATTTGTGCAGAGAAACGCAAATCTATTACAGAAATCTTTTTATTTGATGAACTCTTTCTTTTACAAAATATTATAATATCATGAACAACAGGAAACTTTAAGAAAAATGCAATTTCAACACAATGTTTTAACATTAACTTGTATGCAAATAGGAATAAGTCAGTTTTTCTCATTTTTGACATTTTTCTGATGAGGGTGTCACGGTCAACAAAACGATCGTCCTTTAAGAGCGTTTGGAAAGAGACAAGTCTTCATTTGTGCTGCTCTGGTGGGAGGGGCCACGTACAGAGACACTGAAGATGTGCTGTGCTCAGCACTGCAGAAAATTACCAATAGTTAAGAAAATATAATTAAAATATTTGAGTAGAAAATCAGCCGAGGGTCAGATTAAAGATCTTGGAAGGCCAGATCCAGCCCTTGGGCCATATGTTTGACACCCCTGGTATAATCAAATTTTTGGTCGTTTTTACGCAGCTTTTGTGTATTTTACCTAAACAAATCACAATTTATGCTTCTCTTTAATGTTGGCAGAGATTAAATTGGTCAAAAATAGGAAAACCTGAGACATTTCTTGTGTAAAACTGGGACAAATCAGTAGTTTTGGATAAATCTGCTGGGACAGGAACTCAAAACTGGGACTGGTGAAACGTCTGGTCACCCTAGACAAATATTAAACAGAAAAAAGGGCACTCACTTACAGATGTTATTGCTTTGTCTGTAATGTAACTTGTATTCATTCAGTTACAGATGTTTTCATTGCCTAAAAGAAAAAAGAAAAAAATTAGGCAATCTTACTGAAAGTGGGATCAACTCTCCACAGATCTGACCTGTAACTTGGTCAAGAGCCACCACCGCTTCTCTCCATATTGTGAAACATTACAGACAAAGTACAACCTCATGAATATTGACATGAAAAGTGACATAATGGACCTTTAAATGTCCAAATAATGTCCCTTGTGGATCATTTAAGTTTCTCAAAGTCTAAGTCTAAATACTTTTACCCTAATTAAGATTGAATGAGTTGTGCGACAGACTTAAACACCGACTATTGGACTGAAAAGACTCTTAAGAAAAGCACGTTTCCCGATTTTCACTCCTGACGCTGACCAGCCAATGAGACGACTCCCAAACACGCCTGCCCTTTTCTGATTGGTCCACGCCTTCAGAGCTGACCCCCTGATTGGCCGAAGAGTCTGTCAGTCATGACGGAGTGACGCCCAGACTGCAGCGGATTAATAAAACAAGAGGAGCGACGGATACGAATCTACGAAGTTGTTTTTAACGTTTTGTACATTTTTATGTGATCTGATCTTTCAGGAATTTTTCAGTCAGAACTTTGAGCTTATTTTGAAATTTTAAGAGTTTACAAAAGACGTCAAAAAAAGTAAATTTGTTAAAACTTACTGGGGTGTGGTTGGTTGGTTGGTTCGGGGGAAATGATTATAACTATTTTTGAGGCTACCGTTAGCATTAGCTTAGCGGGTAGCGTTTTCCTATGGAGCTTATAGCACAAAGCCACACTCCACAACAGATTATGTGATGTCATTTTAAAACACAGCGAGAGGAAGTCTGTGTAAAACAAGTGTCTCATTCAGCTTTAAGTGTTGTCTGGTCTATGTTAGCGCACTAGCATTCAGATATATGTGTAACAGTTAGCATACGATATTAGCCTGCGCCAGTCTTTACGATTCAAGACGTTGTTGGTAGTCGATAAATCTGAATCCGTTGTAAATAAATGTTTTCCATCGCAACAGTTGGGGAAAATATGGATGCCCGAAAAAGTTTAATGTTTATTTTGTTAGCTTTTGATTGTTATTATGATATTATTGGGACAGACTACATATAACTCACTAGGGCTACATCTAAATCTCAAAGAATTCAACACTTTGACTGAACCCTGAGGTAGATAAAGTCAGGTATCACTAGTTCCTGCTAAGGCAAGGCAAGGCAAGTTTATTTGTACAGCACAATTCGTACACAAAGTAATTCAAAGTGCTTTACAGAATAAGAAATACATTAAAATCATAATAAAAATAAAAAATCATGAAGATTAAAATTAAAAAAGAGAGACATAAATTGGAGAGAAGAGTGCGGAATGAAAACCTTTCAGTTTTATGCACAGTTCAAACAGAAATGTTTTGAGCCTGGATTTAAACAGCGTCACAGAAGAGTCTGTCTCACATGTTCAGACTGTTCCAGGTTTTAGCTGCATGAACCTGAAACTCTGACTCCCCTTGTTTAGTCGTGACTCTGGGCACCAGCAGGAGGCCGGTCCCTGAGCTCCTCAGAGTGTGAGATGGTTCATATGACACTAACATGTCACAGATGGACTTTGGTGCTCGGCCATGGAGAGACTTGTACACAATCTGCTAATAAACAGAGTCAGTTAGGTAATGTTAGCTGCCGGCGACTCAGTTATGGCAGTTTGAGTATTACATGTTCAGAAAAAAAACTTCTGTTAACTGTCAAATGATGTGAAAGAAAGTGTAAATATCTCTACGCACACAACTTTTGAAAACATTTCAAAATGACGAAAAGACCGCTACCATTTTGCTGTGACGTAAATCCAACCCACTTGGTCCACGCCAAACTAGCTCGAGTTTGTGTTTCGGAACCCCGATTTCTTTGGCCGTTCCATTGCACTTTCTCGAGGTGGAGGTCGGTTTTCCCAGAGTCTCGAGCACAAGAGAATGCACCCTGTTTTCATGTCAGAATTTAACAATGCTATGATTGCAGATGGAGAGCAAGGGTCTATAGGAGATTTACTGTTTTCGAAATAAATATCCAACTTTATAATAAAAAATTTTCAACCTTAGGAACTGGCTCATAGACTGTATCTATAAAAGGGACGCAGCTAACCCGCTAGGCACCGCTTTCCAAATAGGAAGTGAGCATGGGTGCGCTTCCTGCTCCATCGACTCTGGCTCCAGTTGACTTTACATTGAAAAATTGTCACCTTTCGCTCCGTAACTACAGGGAGCCTTGTCATTTAGGGCTTAAAATGTTCATATTAATCTGCTGTACATGATCCTGCGGTTTTTATTTCTCTATAAATACTTTATAAGGAACTTGGCTTCAAATTCGCTCCATAACTGCAAGCCTCATGAGCTTCATTTGACTGGAGCCAAACGCTATGGGTGACAAATGGGTCAAACTCCCTTCCAAGTTCACTTTTTTATATAGTCTATGGATTTACTCAACTAATCTGCCATATTAATATTAAAGTTATAAAGTTATTAAAGTACTTTCAGTTGACATCTATCACGTCTAATATGTCTGATGAGTAATAGCACTACTTTCCACAACATAATTTCACTTTTATTTATTTATTTTTATTTATACTCACAGAGAAGATGTTGGACTTTGGGCTAGTTGTTGTTTCATGTGGATAGGCCCAGTAATTACAGATATTTGAACCATAAACAAGGTCAACAAATCTGCAATCTGACAATTATGCAGCAAACTCCACCTAAGAATCCTGACCTGTCCTCCTTTGTTTTGACGTGAACGAACCATGTGTTTCTCTTGATTGGTTAACCCACCTGTCAATCATCGGAAAACGAGGAAATAAGTCGAAAAGTATGTA